GCCGACTGACATAGGCGCCGACCTGACAACCTGGCCCAGGCGCCGACCTGGCCGCCTAACACAAGCGCCAGCCTGACGACCTCGAGGAGTTCACCACCGTACCCCGGTTCTGACGGGATGTGATGAGTCTTACCGTTTGGAGGCTTTTCACCCACCTAACCCGCGAGGACTCCGGTATATAAAGACCTCACCCCCCAAAGGGGAGGGAAATGGAAAAAATAGAGGTAATCCCTACTCTCTAGCTCTCTCATTTCTCCAATATCATCTTCAATCTCTCTACAATCAGAGTGCTAATTTAAGTGTCGGAGAGTCCCCGCCGGGAAAATACCCCCGGGTCCTCTGATTCAGTTCTCGCAGGTCCCTCAACTCCCACTGCCTACAAAGGAAAGATCATCTCATGCAGAGGGCAGTCGGGTTGCGCTGCACCAGGGAGCTCCACCATTCTCTGAGTCACAGGCCGCCTAGGAGTAGGGAGCTCGCCACCAGGTAGCTCTCCACCACGCAGTTCACCACTAGGCAGCTTGCCACCAGGCAGTTCACCACCAGGGAGCTCACCACCAAGCAGTTCGCCACCAGGGAGCTCGCCACCGGGCAGTTCTCCACCAGGGAGTTTGCCACCAAGCAGTTCGTCATCAAGTAGCTCTCCACCAGGCAGATCGCCACCAGGCAGTTAGCCACCAGGCAGCTCACCACCAGGCAGTTCGCCACCAAGGAGCTTACCACCAAGCAGTTCGCCACCAGGGAGCTCGCCACCGGGGAGTTTGCCACCAAGCAGTTTGTCACCAAGTAGCTCTCCACCAGGGAGCTCGCCACCAGGCAGTTCTCCACCAGGGAGTTCGCCACCAAGTAGCTCATCACCAAGGCATGTCACCACCGGGTCAAATAACTAGGTACTTAGCCAAAAAAATTTATACATCACAAAAAATGGTACGTGACCAGAAACGGTTACATCAGTGGTGGCAGTACTGATCGCCACCATGGCTTTTCAAGTGGCAGTAAACCCTCCAGGTGGTGTGTGGCAAGATGACGTTCCAGGCGATCCTCTCAACACCAATCCAAACTCACATAAAGCAGGCATGGCCATACCTAGCCTACAAGAATGGAGCAAAATTCCGTAGGCTATTTCGTTGCAACACGACAAGCTTTGCTGCCTCCCTAAGCATAATCTTATTACTGGTAAGCGGATTGCCAAGGAGGAATAGGGCGTCTATGCGGCTCCTGATGGCGGCATTGTGGGTGGCGATCACAGCCATGGCCTTAACTTACCTGTTTATACTACTGGCCTTGACACCAAATCATGTTTTGCAGAAAATGGATCAGCAACTCATAACGGCAACCGCTTCCTGGTTGGGCGTGATAGCACTAATCGTCTTCGGCCACAGTATCCGGCTGATCCTAATATGGTTGCGTAATTTTGCAAGGCGTCAGAGAAGGAATCACAACGACGATGCTTGATAATATATAGTCTAATTAAAAAACAGAAATTAATTGTACCACTTCTGTCATTGTCTCTGTCTTTGTTTTTGCAATTTCTTATTGCTCTGTTTTATAATTAAGGTTCAAGTTTAGGTCTCCTCCATCCCCTGAACAACATGTTCATTAAAAGACAAAAGTAACAATTAATTAGGTTTTGTTCAAAAAGATAATTAGGTAGGAATCCTGGTCTATTGTAGTCTACCGGGCTGTTAATTAAACAAAAGATTTTAGATGTGAGGATTGATACTTGTTAATGTTTGGCTGCTTTGGGTTTCTTTAAGCTTTATTGGACATGGGTGTTTCCAGTTTCCCATTTTTTCATTGCTAAATGGCAAGATATTTAAAATAAATGGTCTAATGGTCTTTCAAAATCCCGGCCGAAAGAATTTCTGTAATAACTCTTACCAAAGATGCCGCCTATATATACATTTATCAAAATTTACAAGACAGTTGAATTTGAAAGAAAATAACAGAAATTAATACAAAAGTGAGGGAAAGTTGTTCAAAATTTCTGTTTGTACCTATCTTATTTTCCGTTAGACCAAACGCAGCCCAAGGTACCCATAATCCCTATCACCACATCTTATGAGGGACGATTAATTTATACTAGTAAGTACTAGTGTCTAGGAAGACCATCATCACTGTAGAAGACTACTTTCATCAAATAAAAATTTGTAGTATGAATTAATTGGATGAAGGGACGATTAATTTGTAGTATGAATTTATTGGATGTAGTTGACTTGTCCTTTCACGCTTCCACATTACTAGTTACTAAGGCTCAGTTTGGGGATTATAAATACAAATATCTACATTGTAAATACATATAAAATACAAGGTTTTATATTCTACATATTTATATTTGCATTTTTTCTAGGAGTATAACTATAAATATGTATTTAGGCTCAGTTTCAAAGAAGTACAAATACAAATATGTAGAGTGTTAAATAAAACCTTGTATTTTATATTATTTTGCTTGTGTTTGTAGTGTACATATTTGTATTTGTACTCTTTCTAAACTGAGTCAGGCTGTCTTTGATCGCAACATAAATAAATTTGCAGTGATGCAAAATTATGGAAATGCAAATGATTTGAGTGTAAATTCATACCTATTTGTATTTCAAATTTTAGCTTATTTTCTTTGATTGCAGTGCAAATAAAGTAAATCAAGATATGAAGTAGAACAAAGTAAAACCCAAAACAAAATTAAACCAGAGTTTGCATTTAACTGCATCCAATCACAGCCTAAAGAATAAATCAGTTTTGCACGTATTAATCAAAATAAAAAACCCACTTTTGAAAAGAGGGAAGAAATTTTTCCTTACATTCGGTGGACCTATTATACATTCATTGATGAAATTGCTTTACTAGAAGGCACTGATCTTATACTACTTCTACCTGCAACGTATCATTACTAACACAATTTTCTACAGTATAATTGAAATGAAGGAGATACAATATATGGCCGGCCAAGACCTCACCCCGGCCTATGACTTCGTCTATGGCAATGTGGTAGACAACAAATACACCATCGATCAACATCAAGTATATCGTCCAAGATTTCCCATATGTCCTCCCCGCCATGAAAAACATCCAGGGAGCAGTAGAGGAAGCTGGTTTACAAGACAGAGTGAAGGTGACTACAGCCACTTACACAGCAGCCCTTGCCATGCTAATACCTACCCTCCTTCGGCCTCTGTCTTCAGAGATGAAATCAGGCCATACCTGCAGCCCCTTAGTAGCTTCTTAGCACATAATAATTGGGTTGTGCTTACATTCACACTTACTTCAGTTAAATGCTCTACTCACATAATATTAGGCGTGATTATGCTGTGTTCACTGCACCATTCTTCGTGGAAGAAGATGGTAATCTCAAATACCAAAACCTTTTTGATGCCATGTTGGGTTCTGTGTATGCTGCTATTGAGAAGATCAGCGGGTCCTCTGTGAGGATTGTTGTGTCCGAAACAGGTTGGCCGAATGTGGCTGATTTTGTATCAACCACGGAAAATGCACAGGATTATTTGAATGGGTTGATCAAACATGTGAAAGGATCAGAAACTCCCAGAAAACCCAATTGGCCTATTGAGACTTACATATTTGCAATGTTCGATTGGAATGCCAAGGATGGACCAAAACTCGAGAGACACTAGGGGCTATTCTATCCAAATCAACAACCTAAGTACCAACTCAATTTTAAATTAGTGTGTCATGAGCTGATGTTTTGACTTGGATTGTGATGAATTTGTAATTCAATTGTAATGTGAAAATAAGTGCTAGTACTCTTTTTATAAACTTATGATATTCGACCCAAATCCTTACTGCAATGTTAGATTCAGTGTTTTCGAATCGTTGTAGACCTGGAGGGTGGGGCCATTCGGCCCAGGAGCCATCAAGTCAACCGGTTTCATTTCACTCTTAACCCGGTCTTTGTAAAAAACTAATGGTTCAATTAGGGATGGTCAAATTGTTGATCTCTTTGACCCATTCAATAATTTTGACCATTTTTTTGTTCTAATTATTTTTTAATATTTTTTTATAGCTTATAATGAGCTATCAATTCAAACCAAAGATCAAATCACTGACCCAAAAACTGGTGGTAGAACGATTCCAGTCCCTGATCGGTTTTGAAAACCTTGATTAGATCAGAAGACCCTAGAAATAGAGTCGCCCATTCACTAAATTCATGACCTACCAATTTAAAATATAAAAAAATAAAATAAAAATTAAAATAGTATTAGCTTTCTACTTTGTACTTCCATCGGTTCAACTTGGTTTTGCAACTGCAGGTCAAAGCTAGCCATTGCTGATTCGAATGAAGGTTGTGATGATATAATATGAAAATTCAGGAACTCTTGCTAAGTTTGGACATGGGGCCCAAACTTCTTCAACAGCCCAAAGTGGAGGCAATTTTCTACCACAACTAGAATTGCTAATAATCAAGAAAGATTAAGGCTATGTTTGGCTTGAAGGAGAGGTAGGGAAAGGAGTAATTCTAGTGTATTCCTCAATATTTTGGATTCTATTTATAGACTCTTTTATGACTGTTGAGTTTGTTCCAATCATGGTTTTTAAAACCGAACCAGTCAGGGGTCCGATTACCGATTCAAACGATTGGCCCATTCTGACAAAAAAATTAAAAAATATTAAATAAATTGAAAAACAGCCAAAACTGTTCAAATGGTTAACTAGCTGGTTCAGCAGTTTGCTGACCAAAATCAACGGTTTTGGGAAAAAAGCGGTTTTGGGGTAAAACGGAACCGGTTAGGTGACTAGTTCCCAATTTTTCCAGTCTGACCGTCCAGTCCGGTTCAGTTTTGAAAACCATGGTTCGAATGGATAAGAACTACCCACAAATCTCTCTAAACAGTTGGGATTAGCCTCCAATGGGATGAGACACTTGTCCCTGGTTGTTGAGACATGTTCTCAACCAACAACTACTATAGTGGACCAAACTTAAAAGAGATAAGTCAAAACAAATTTTATTTTATAGGAAAATAATAAATAATAATAATAATTGAAAAGAGGTATTGATTGTGTGTGCATGCTGGTCCACATAGAGCAAATACTCCACCGATTGTCTGATTCATGTTGGCCTACGGATAGTCCTACATGTCGAGGATGATATATATCAAGGGCCATAGGCCATTCAGTCCAACATCAAAGAGAATAGAGAGGACTCTGTAATTACATTACATCCTCAAAGGAAGCACCCGATTCATCTCTCTCTCCTATGATCAGTGGTTTTTGTAAAGCATCACCATTAAGGAATTCAACATAGCTTTTGAGTTAGAATTTTCAGATTTGTATTGCCACGGGTTAGCATTTCTTTGGCGATTTCTCTAGAAAAAAACAACGGCTATAGGGTATGGTTTTCAAAACCGGACTGGAAAAACCGTGAACTGGCTACCTAATCAGTTCTGTTTTCCCCCAAAATCGTTGATTTTGGTCAACAAACCATTGAACCAGCCAGTTAATTGTTCGAACCATTCAAATGGCTTTGACCGTTTTTTAATTTTTTAAATTTTTTGTCAAAACGGGCCGATCATTCGAGTCGAATAATCAGACCATTCGAACCGATAACCGAACCCCTGACTGGTTCGGTCACCAGTTCAGTTTTAAAAACCATGCTATAGGGTAAGGCTTGGATGTCTAGTTTGGTTTCATTACGGGAGTTTTGCTCTTTGAGTTTGTTCCTTTGTTGGAAGAAGAAGTTCCTCCTTGTTGGTGTTTCTAGAGTTCTTGTTGGTTTCATGTGTATTGTTTACACATGGTTTAGTGTTTTAAATACAAATAAAAATTTTAATCACAACAATTAAGTGGGAGAATATATATAAAGGATTTTAAGTTATTTCTATTAAACAGTTGAACTTAAAAGCTTCATTGAGATGGTTATTAGAACCAATTTGATCAAATGGTTTAGTGTTTAATTTTCGTTATCCCATGCTATAATTAATTAAATTTCAGCACAAGTTTAAATTGAAGAAACCTATACTTGTCCACCCTTAAAGTCTAATGGATTTTAGTGTGAGTGGGCATCTATATAAATATATATTTTCTTTATTGGAAAACAGACAAATATTCTTCTTTCCCAACTACCCTGATCATCAAGGGTGCTGATGTTCAAACTCGAACAAGAAGGCAACCAGAAAACCTGGTTAGAAAGGACTAGTTCATGCTCTTGACGTCGTCGTCGTCACTTATTGACTAGCAACAGCGTGGCCACGAGCTTGACCCCTGGCTACGTTCAGTAGTGCTTAAAATAGTCTTTGGTTTGTCAAGTGGGGAAGTGTTGCATTACCATAGAAACATGGCATTTTGGCAATTGGCATCCAACAAAATTGCACGCCCTCTATTTGAATGGACTACTACCACTTACAGTTAAGGTTTAAAATTTTGTATCGTATCATTAAAAAATACATATGGGATATCCATGAAAATCAGATGAATCGTATATGTATTGAATATCGGATTCATATCGAGAGTGTATCGGGGTGTATTGGGGGGTGTATTAAGGCGTATTGGGGCATATCGGGGCATATCAGTAGCGTATCAATAAAAAAAATACGGCTAAAAACTGAAATAAAAAATAAAGGGAAAAAACAAGTTTCTTTTCCTTGAAATAAGCCTTCTTTCACCTCCAAATCTATACTACCAATAAAAGAACGAATGCCCCATTTTCTGGAATTTTCATTAGACATTTTTTACCCATTATCTAAGTAGCATAAAGAGGGTATATATGTCCTTTACTCTCACTCCAAAAACTAGTCACTTTTAACAGTTAAGAAACTGTCCATTTATAATTGTTCTAAAATTGCCCATGAATTGTAAATAGTTTTGTCTTAGAGATACTGTTATGTGGAAATACACGTACACATTTACTAGTAACTCTAAAACTCCAAACCTCATTCCTAGAGTGATAGATTTGTAAAAAATTGCAAGAAACAAGTATTAATATCTTATGATTTTATTATTAAAAATGTTTAAATTTATGTTGATCTATATTTCTTACATTCAAAATTACAATTTTTTTTGTGTTATCAGTAGATGTATGGAAATTTCATGAAGATATTTGGGGAAAATATAAGTTAACAAAAAATTTGAAAATATAATTTTTTCCTTTGCCTATAAACACTGAATATGTTTTAGATATATGGATTTATCTATCATATCCATAGTGCATATGAAATTTCTTCTTCAAAATTTTTTATGTTTTTAGAATTAAAAAATAAATAATAAGTAATTATATTTTATCATTTAATCACAACAATTGAATATATTATAATTCTATGGATGATCTATCATATCCATAGACCAATTGAAATTTCTTCTTTAATATTTTTTATATTTTTAGAATTAAAAAATAAATAAATAAATCATTATATTTTATCATTTGATCACAACAATTGAATATATTATAATTCTATGGATGATCTATCATATCCACAAAGCAATTGACATTTCTTCTTTAATAATTATTTTTTGAATATATTTTATAATGCTTATTTGTTTTTATAATTTTTGGAAATAAATAATAAATAATAATTATTTAAATAATGAATAGTTATTAATTATATTTTCACTTAGAAGTTGTGACAATGCATATTTTATGGTTGGATAGGAGAGTTGGGTTTTTACCATCCCGTTAAACATTAAAACTTAAGAATTATAATTTATAAATTATAGTTAAGCATAAGATTTTTATTGATATTATAATTAACTACAATATATTTTTTCATAAAACCATTAGCATATATTAATTTAATGCTTTTGCATCTCATTGAGGTCTTATATTTAGTGTTGTTGATGTACTTTTATGATTTACTAAAGTATTTATAGTGTTTCTAAACGTATTTATGCGTATCTTAGTTTTTCCCCGATAAAAATGTATATCCAAGGCGTATCCCGATACATCTCTTAAAATTATCTTTCTAATACACTAGACATTTTTGATACTTTGAACCTTACTTATAGTTCAAAAAGTAAATCAAAACCACATTAATTAATCTTTTATATATAAAATATAGTTGATCCAAATCTTCTATAGGACACATGGAGATCCAAGAGAGAGCATCTCATTGTATTAACCCTATTTACATTTTGTTAGTAATATGTGCTAAAAGACGGCTTGATAGATGCAATATGGAACCTTAAAGGGGTGCCCGCTGCGATGGTTTGATAGATGCAATATTTGGGGATGGATGCACGTTGGGACATGGAGGTTGTGTAATATTTAACTCTTTTTACTTTCTGTTTTGTAACACTAGATATGTGTTTGGTTTCGTCGGCAATTATGAATAGGTCGTGATGCGTTACGATTCGGGCACTCCTAGTTGGCTACTGACTGGCTCCTTGTTGACAATGGATGGCACCTGAGAAGATGGAAAAGAAGGATTCTCGGGGATTTACCCGGTGGGAATACTCCAAAGCTTAAGTCAAAACGTTGGGGAAGGAGAAAAAAGAGTGTGAAAGCTAAGAGTGTTGGTCGCACTTTTTCACTGTGCTCGAGAGATTAGCTCACGAGCAAGTAAAGACTCAGGTTGAAAATATGAGAGTGCGGAAGTATTCAAAAGTCTGAAAAAATCTCTCTCTTCTCCTTTGCCTCAATGGCTTTTATAGGGGAGTCCTTGTCAAATTGGGCGTAACCGCCACT